TAGGGGTGTGCAAAAAATCCAAATTGATCCGAACCGATCCATAACCGATCCGATCCATATTGAAAAATCCGATCCATTTTGAAAAAAAATCCGAACCGAACCACTTTATAAAACCGGTTCAGTTATCCGATCCATTTTTACAAAGTGGATCGGTTCGGTTCGGTTTGGTTTTTAAAAAAAACCGATCCATATATGAGTAAAAAAGTGGATAACTGCACCGCACCGAACCGATCCAATTTAAAAAAAACCGATCCATATTTTAAGAAAACCAAACCGATCCACTTTATAAAAAATGGATCGGTTAACCGATCCACTTTTATAAAACGGTTCGGTTCGGTTTGGATCGGTTTTTGGAAAAAACCGATCCACGAACACCCCTAATCCACTGTCCTACTGGTAAGGTGTTACCCATTAATGCTGACTCGCCTTAGGGCTTAGGGCTTAGGGCTTAGGCGTGCAGTTTAAACTTTAAACAATTCACTTACAATAGGTCAATTTTTTTGTTAGGATAGCATTCCCACCTTATATATGGCCCCTATACTACTTAAATTATAAAATAATAACGTGACTAGTCAAAATTAAGTCATTTCAAAGTGTTAATTACACTTAAATCCTTCAAATCTTATCACTAAACCAATGTTATGTTATCACTTATATCCATTAATTATTTTTATGTGTATGTTTGGATTAGATTCTTTTCTACCCTCTATCTTTTTTCTTAATAAAATTTCTTTTACCGACAAAAAGAAAATTATGAACCAACATTTAACACACAATAATTTTTTTTTTAATTGCCATACATGTTGATATTTATACTAATAATAAAGGAGATATTTTCATTTTAACATTCACTTTTATCTATTTCTTTTTTATCTTTGTATGGTCCGATAGTCCACCTGTTTCTCCACCATAGTATGATATTGTCCACTTTGGGCTAGGCCCGTACTGTTTTTTTTTTGGGCTCCTTCCCAAAAGGCCTCATACTATATGGAATGGTGGACACCCTTATAAACTAGCCAATGTTCCTTCATTTTACATATGTGGGACTTGGGATGAATCCCAACAATCTTTGATAGCCATATATAATCTTTAATAATCTCACAACTATTGGGAGAGATTTGTCTTCTTTCTTTTCTTAACGGAGTATTTCTTTTACTAGTAAATAAAAACAAAAATATTTAGTAATACTTTATTAAGTTTTTTTTTTCTAAAAAAATATGCGGATTGATGTACATATATACTGCAGTTAGATTCGTTTAAATCACAAACTAAATTATTTAAACTGAACAAATGGACTGTGATTTTTAAGACCAAACCCATGAAAGCTACAAATATATTAAATGGTTTGGCGCTCCATATACTCAACTCTAACTGTTATAACGAGTTTTGTTTAATACTAATAAAAGTTTGAGTCTTTGAGAAGACAATGCTACTCCAATTTCTAAGTTACATAAATTTGAAATGATTACTTGTCTTAATGATTATTATATTATACCAGTGTGTTTCTCGTATCTACGCGTGATATATATATATTTTGTTACGTATATAAAAAAACTATATAATATAAATATAATGTGATTATGAATATTTAAAATTAAAGATGAGATATATTTTTTTAAATTTTTTAGATAATTATATTTAATATAATCAAAATATATTTAGAACAATATAGTAAAAATTGGCAACACAGTGGAACAATAAAATGAGAGAAATCTTTATCATTTTAATAAAATAAAATTTAAAACTCATTTGAAATAATGTTCATTATTTAAGTCCAACAATCTATCGTTTAAA